TTCCGACGGCAATGGTTTTGAAGTCCATCATCTTTCCTCCTCCTTGTCCTCTTCGTCGTCTTGCTCTCCCTGCAGCTTTTGGCGAGCGAACTCCTCGATCACCACGTCCTCCGCGCTGGAAGTATGAGGAGAGCTGGTGTGAGCAGGGGCATTCACATACAGATTCACTGTCAAGGCTAGATTCATACTCTTTATGGTGGGTCCCCCTTGCTCACACACCGAAGCTCTCAACCAACTTGTCTGAGCCCACACAGGGCAACCGACTCCTTCCCTGACCCCATGTGACATCACTGGGCCAATCACGAGGCACCTTGTGCTGTCTCATGGGGGAGCGAAGGTGCGAGTCACATGCTCACCCATGCCCGAAAGTACTGAATATTTCACTTTTGGGTTTGGGTAAGCATACGTAAAGGTGAGTACATGCTGGGGGAGGGGGGTTCATAAGTGTCCTTTTTATTTGGCCATCCATGGACACAGCAAAGGGTCACCTCATAACCCTTCCCCCCTATACAGTTTATCCAGGATGGGGACACCACCATCTCCCATCACCTGCCTGCTCATTGGATTATGAAAGAGCTGATTGGCTCACCCCTGTACTCCTCTCCTTCTATAAGACACCTAAACTCCTCCCCTTCCCACCCCTAGAGGCATCAGATTGGGATACTTTAATGATCACACGGGGTTGTTTCTGTACAGGATCTATTTATATATTTTTTTTCACCCAAGATTCACACAACTCTTACCCAGGGTTACTTTTCCCAATTGGATCCCATTAGAAAACTGGGTGAAAGTTGTGTGAATCTTGAGTAATAAACATTTATGATAAACTCTGTATGGTTTTTTTATATTATTTTTGTGTATTTTGCTGGTATTATTTTTTTTTGTGTGTGTTTCAGAAAGAAACTGCACATGTTAGGACATGAAAATGTTCCCCATCCCCTTTATTGTGCATTTTATCGGTAGTTTTTTTTTTTTTTCTTCCATGGAAATTAAAAATGCAAAACAAAAACAGTAGTACACAAATGTTGTTTTACATTTTTTTTTCATTTTCCTTTTTTTACAAAAAGAACATAATTTTAAAATACGAGAAGCGACCTGCTGGCTGGCCGCCGCTGAACGACACTTTTTCCTTTCCGTGTCTCTCTTTATATGATTGCGTCCTGTCTCTGTTATTATGTAATTAGTAGGTAAGTTGGAAGTTATTATGTATTACTTTTGCAGTTGTAACTTATACCATGTGTTTTCTTTTTCCTTTTTTTTTCTCCTAAATTAAAATGCTCAATTAAAAAAAAATATACATATTATGTAAATGTTTAAATATTTATGGCAGGTAACATTTCACCTAAGCAGAAAATACAGAGAAATGTACTGAATTTTCACTCAAACCAGTAAGCTCCCTGCAAAATCAATTGAGCCAAAATCTCTCTGCTCATCGCTATACCGCGGAACATTGCAGGATGTCCGTATGCCAGGGGTGCGCAGGAGGGGCGAATTCTTATCATTATAGTATACTTAGAGTTACGCAGAAATATATAGGTGCCCAACACAAACCGCAAGACAAACATGTATATGTACAAAGCACACAAGAGCCATCCAGTCATCTCTTACCTTGTTGTACCTTTTAGGGTTCATAGGTTGGGGAAAAGCAATGAAAAAAAAAAGTTACTTTTCTGCACACAGTTTCCTCAACAACAAAAAAACAACTTATATAATTATCTTAATATTATTAATCTCTATCTCTCTCTCTCTCACAATTATCATACAAATAATTAGTAATATAGGCAGAAATAGGATTTATTTCCTATGCCTCCTCGGCTCCATCTGGTGGCCGTAGTGTGTTATTACATTACATTCGGCGTGAAGAATCTAAACTAACAAAACGTTTGTTTTTGCCTCTGTTTGCAGTTCTGCGGGGCGAACGACTCTGCGGGTTCATTATAAATAGACCCCTAATTCCCATCATTCTAGTCTATCTTTTTTTGGACTCACCTTCAGGTGGTTTGGGGTGCATCAGAACAAGCGGCAGCTCCACTGCCACATCACTACAAAAAAAAAGAATGACAAAGGTGGAATAAATGAACCGGCATAAAATAACAAACATGTTCAAACACGAAGCCATCCCTCTCCACACAGCCTGCGGTCTGAACAGACATTTGCGTGCTGCTGGCCCCTCTCTAAAAATCTACCTGATACTTTCTTAGTATATTTTCTTTTCAGGTTGAATGTAATATAGTGTAATACAGCATTATGGCCACAAGGTGGAGCTAAATATTTATTTCCTGTGCTCCTCAGTCCCATCTAGTGGCCAATATGTGATATTACATCACATGACTTACTTCCTGTGCTCCTCAACTCCATCTAGTGACCAATATGTGATATTGCATTACCTGACTTACTTCATGTGCGCTTCAGCTCCATCTAGTGGCCAATATGTGATATTACATTACCTGACTTACTTGCGGTGCTCCTCAGCCCCATCTAGTGGCCAATATGTGATATTACATTACCTGACTTACTTGCTGTGCTCCTCAGCCCCATCTAGTGGCCAATATCTGATATTACATTACAATGGACCTGAAAAGAACGTTCGTTTTTGTGTCTATTCGCACAGAATGAACGTTCGTAGGGATTTGCAGGGGGCGTGGCTCTGTGGATTGTTTTATAAACAGACCCCCATAGTGCAGCTTGGAGTCAATCTAACCGATACATCTTCATAAACATCAGGCCGTGTTTCTTTTTCTAATGTTAAAGGAGCTTGTGCTAAAAATAACCGTCACCATGTGGAGTGTGTAACATTCGCTGGCTGTTAATAAAGTTACATTACCTGGATATGAGGTCTCCCAGAATGCTGGAAAAGAAACACTAAGTCAGCTGGTAGGTTATAGAAAAGGAATACATATCCATTGTAACAAACATTTTGGGGGCCACTTCCTGCCGGTGTAATACACATGTGTGTCCGCACGGGGGGTGGGGGGTGGATGGGCTTTGATAGGCCGGCCCGCTGTTGTGTGCTGAGTGCGTGCTCACTCGCCGGTGGTCACTGTTTACGTAAAGAAGCTGGTGGGGCGGGCTCCCGATCATGTGACTGCTATGACAGCCTATCGCAGCGACCACATGAGTCAATCTGCCCACCTCCTGTCATTCAAAACCCCTTAAAGCAGAGGTAGGCAAGCTCCGTCCCTACAGGTGGGGTGAAACTACAAATCCCATGATGCATCTGTCTCTGCGAGTCATGGCTGTGAGAATCTTGCAATGCCTTCTGGGATTTGTAGTTCCACCACAGCTGGAGGGCCGGACTATGCCCACCCCAGCAGCATCCGGAACAGAGGGGTTACAGGGAATCCATAGAGCTTCATTTGTACTATGTTCAGAACAGAAAGATGGGAGTAGTGCTGGACTTTCCTAATAGAAAGCCCAGCATGTCATGGAATCACCTCTCCTGTCATTGCAAATAATAAACATACGTGTTCACGTGTAACTTGTATGCCGTTATGGTTTTACCACCAGGGGCTCGCTGGGACCGTGTGCGGTGACCAGGCTAGTCTGCACAGATCGGCGCAGAGGAGGTAAGTGTTCCCTACGTGTCCCGTTCACATCACTTACCCGCCACGTGACGCCATCAGATTGACTCGAACTTTGTAAGACACCAGAATCCCCAGCACCTCCTTATCCATCCCCGGGCGCAGGCTGCAAGAAAGGGGCGGAGTTATCGGAAGTCCAAAGTGAACCTGGTCTGGTTATGACATCTACATATTCCTAACAAGCAACAATTCAGCTTTAAAGGCCTCGCTGGCCAAAAGGGGGTGACTGAATACATGAGTCACCGCTGGGAGGGGGAGCAGAGAAATGTGAGCTGCTGGGAGGAGGGAGCAGAGAGTTCTGAACTGCTGAGTGGTTGCTGGGAGGAGGGAGCAGAGTGGGTTAAGTCACTGCTGTGAGGGGGCACAGTGGTAGCTGAATTGCTGAGTCCATGCAAGGATGCGAAGCTGAGCTGCTAAGTCACTGCTGTAAGGGGGTGCTA